TTCATCCTAAAATTAAAATTTACTCACCATTTACTCTCCCTCGTGTGTTTCCGTTATGAGTTTGTTTCTTCTCTTGAACACAAAGTTAGATATTTTGAAGAATGCTGAAAACATGTAACCAGTGACATCCATGTAGGAACACAGGTTTTCAGCACTCTTCAAAATGTCTTCCGTTGTGTTCAAGTAGACTTGAAACAAGGAAAAGGAGAGTAGATGATGACAGAATTTTTATTTTTGGGTGAACTATCCGAGCTTGTATAACAAATAATGTTAAAATAAAGGTGCAGTTTACCTTAAAGGTCACCTATGATGAAAATCCTCTTTTGTTTGGACAGAACTGTGTGTAGCTATAGTGTTTCTACAGTCATATTTACATGATATAAACACAATAAGTCTCTTTTTTTAAATTTCTTGACATTAAAATAGGATCCAAATCCCTCTCACTTTGACGCCGACCGCAATGTGACGTAAGAGTGCGGTTTTCCCCACCCACCGAATTGATTGACAGCAGCATATTAACATGTCTCCGTAGTAACACGTTTAAACATATCAACAAGACAGGATTTGCACAAAGCAACTGGGATTAAAAGATCTGTTCAGCGCTCTGTGATCATCAAATGTGAACAAGAATGAGTTTTACAAGTTTAAAACGCTTTTAAAACAGTGCATGTTTGGAATACAGACAGTAAAATCACTAATTCAACACCAAAGAGGCAGAGCAAGTACACATCCGGGAATTTTATCAGTACTTGGCAAGATTTGAGCTTTGAATTGGAACCGTACTTGAGCGATGGAGGATGATGTTTCACAAAGACACAGGAACGCAGTACAGACAAGAACGCATATTGAGAAACAGCCTAAGACACACTCTAAAGGCTGATTTATACTTCTGCGTCAAATGCCGGCGTATACTACGGCGCTGACGCATAGCCCTTCGCCGTGGCTGTCGGCGTCACTGACGTGCACCTCTCAAAAAATGTAACTACATGTCGCAACAATGCGTAGCGCAAGCTTTGTGACTGGTCGGCTTAGTAGCACTGACGAGTCTGGGCGGGATCGAGAGCCACGCGAATGGTGCGAGGGATTGTTTACAAGTGTGGAGCCCCATGAAAGAGCTCCGGATGGAAAGTTTTGTTTTGTGTTTACCTCACAGTTAAAGTTGTTGCACGTCCGCCGGTTCCTGCCTCAAAATGAATGAGTTTGAGTCACTTGTACAACCAGGAAGTGTTCAGGAAAAGCAAAACAGAAGCAAAGAAACTCGACACAGAGGAACATTTACACCTCACTGCCAACTAGCGTTTCGGAAGTGTTAATGCAGACCAACAGAGACAGCGCGCAGAAGAATAAATGCACAGCTGTGCGCGTTGCCGGCGCCGTGAGTTACGTCGGTCACTTGACACAGAAGCATAAACCAGGCTTAACAGGCATGTGGGAGCGGTGGGCGGGGATAACTAGCTCATTTGCATTAAAGGCACAGGCAACAAAACCAGCTCCAATGTGCTCAGAGCAGAAAATTCCAACATTTTGAAAGCTATAATAAATAATCTGATGGGTTTTTTGAGCTGAAACTGTACAGACACATTCTGGAGACATAAAAGACTCATCTTAAATCTGGAAAGATGGGTAAAATAGGTGCCCTTTAATTAATTTTTAATGATATGACAGTGTTTTGAGCTTATTAAAAAGTGACATTTGCAATTAAAATTAACCGTAATTAAAAAAGAGGGAATAATTAGTAAACTGCTTTTAAAAAGGCACTATTTTTGATCATATCTAAGCCTCATAATTGCACAATTCACCTTTAAAGCAGACTATTTTTCAGACAATCCATCAACTAATCGCTTGCAGAAATATGTGCTTGAGCCCATCCTCATCCTCTCTCTCACTTTTGGACACAAACTTCTTTTCACTCTGTCACAAACACACACAGACAAACAGACACACACACACACACAGACACAAACACAGACAGACAAACAGACAGACAAACACACACAAACACACACACACACACACACACACACACACACACACACACACACACACACAACCACCAAAATAGCCTCTGCAGCAGATTATGATTGCAGTGCAATTTCGGTCCTCAGCTCCCCTGTGAGGGTGTGCCACTGTCGAATATCTCCTTAAACACCCGTAAGCATGTACAAACACATACACGCAATAAGACGCACATAAATTCCATGTCCAAATGCAGTGGTTTTAACACGACTCCCTCCCCCTGTTCTCAAACAGCCCTCAAATCCCTTTAAAGAGAAAACAAGGAGAGAAAAAAAAAAGAGAAGAGCAGCTCAGTTATGACTTCCAGCTGTGGGAACGACCGGCCCACGAGCAGGAAGTCCAAAGGAAATACCTTCGTCACATCCCGCTCTTCAAAAACAAGGAGAATTTGCTCTTTTTTTTTTTGCAGCTGGATTCTTTCATCTACTTTCATGGATCAGCGGTTTCCAGTATTCCAGTTATGCTCTCTTAAAGGGATAGTTCACACAAAACTGAAAACTCTGTCATCATTAACTTGTTTTAAAAGCCTTATATGTTTCTTTCCTGGAGCATTGAGCAAGCTACCTGACAAATGTAGTGAGCTAAACTATTAGCTACTCTGCTTAAAATGTAGCTTAACTACACGAACAGATACCCTCTGGGAAATGTAACAAGCTGAGCTAAAATCTACTTTGCAAAAGTAACTTAGCTACATCCATGCTATTTTTGCAATTTTTATTTTTAAATCGAAGCAACTTAAATCCAAGTCAATCATATCTTAGTGATCAATAAAACTGTCAATGAAACATATGAGGCAGAATAGTTCAGTTATTTACTGTAAATAATATGCTGTACTAAACAGAAACAAATTATAGAATATAAGAGCAAAAACAAAAAATCCAATAAAACCAGGAGTTAGAATAGTGGTATTTACTTGTGTTCTGTGTATTTACTAATTAAAATCTACATTATCGATGCTGCAAAGGACCTTATGAAACTGAAAATAGTCTTATCAATCTTTCATCGGAAGAGCAACACTTCTGTGAAGATATTAAGGGTGTCACGATCCTCCAAATCCTCGATTCGATTACATTTTCGATTCTAAAGGCACGATTTGATTCGATTTTCGATTATGAATAATTAATTAATTAATTAATGACGAATTAATTATTTGTAGCCTACCGTTTAAACTACCTGACCTGTATGGTCTTTGTTTTACCCATAAACAAATCATACAGTAAATGAATAAAGGCAAGATGCACACATAATTACCACCTGTCAATCACTTTTTTTCTGCGGGACTCGTGAATAGGCAGTGATCTGTGTCGTTATAATGGAGTCGGTAAAAAAGACGCACAACCAACAGGAACCAGCCAACAGTATCTGAGGTGTTCGCTAAAATGACAAAGTACAAGTGAGTGAAAGATTGAAGCAGTCCTCTGACTGCCTGGACCCGCTGTCTCGAGCGCATGGCTGTGTGTGTGCGTCTGTGTCTGTGTGGTCACGTGATGTGCATTTTCAGAGGTAGAGAGGAAGGAGGGCTGCTCAGAAATGCTACACGCCACTGTGGATATCAAATCGTTGTCGTTCTAAAGTGCCATTTAAAAACAAAGACAGTGTAAACAGGGCCTGAGTGTGTACTTTTCGCGAGCGGATTTGCAACGGGGGCGGGCGGAGGATCGCGATGCCGGTGTTGTCTATCGGACGAACCGTACATAATACGTACATAGCAGAGCTTGCAAACTGTGTTTTTTTTTGTCGACAACACGAACGTTGTCAACATAACTCACTGGAAATCCAAAATGCTTACACACCGGCGACTTCATTGAAAGAGGAGAGGGTTTAAGCTCTGTCGACGGGTCTCCTGTATCTGCAGTTTAACAAGCACTTCAACAAGCCTGTTTCTTTCCCGCTTGGCAAGCCAAGCTGACGTGACATGGGGGCGTGGCAGCATCGACGATTCTATTTTTTGATTCGATAATCGAAGTTGAGCATAAATTTCGATCGATTTCGATTTAAAATAGAAGATATAACCCGTTTGTAACAACAACATCTAACGTTACATCAGCTTTGTGTGAAGCTAAAGCAGTTTTAAAACAGAACATTACCTGTCTAAGAGAAATCCTTCTTCAGACATTGTGTCATCCTTTCCCCAGCGTGCAAAAGGTAACTCCAATATTGATTCAGGTTTTTAAAAAGCTTTGATTCAGCAGGTTTTTACCGATCATGCACGCGCACTCTCTCTCTGTCTCTCTCGTGAACGCACAGCACGTCCATGCACAAAACGCAATCAGCGGAGCTGCGTACAAAAGGCTGCGCAGTTGTTCAAATCTGCATTTGCTGACAGACAGTTTGAGCAGCTTATCGGAATTATGAGAGATGTCGGCCCAACTCTATTTAATTGGATGAACATTTTTTCGTTTTATGCATTGCCCAAAATATAAAAATACATATAAACACATTTAGATCATTTACTTTAATCATTACTATTAGACTGTGAAGAGACTTTCAACCAGCACAACAACAAATGTTTCTGAAGACAATCACCTACTGCACCTTTAATATTCACTCATTATTTCTGAAAACAAGACCATTTTTTTTTTTACTTGTCATGAAAATTGATTTACAAATTTTTAGACATTTCAACTAGAAACAAAGGTAAAAAAAAAGAAAAAAAAGAAGCATTTTCGCAATACAGTTGGGTCATTTTGAACACAATGCAATTTAAAAGATGGCAACAGCAGGACAAGAAGTTAAGCACAGACACTATTCTGAAATAAAGCATTTTCTCAAATCATTCTAGTTAAACCGAAGATCAATTAAAAGCACTGAAAACAAAGCAAGTGGACAACCAATGAAAACCAAGGTCAAGAATTACGCCACAATTTACCCCAGAAGTAAAACTCAGCTCAGAATCGCTTCCTTATCGGAGACATTCATTTTTTAACACTGACAAACATCTAGGTGGAAGGCAGTATTAGAAAAGAAATAGCATATTGACTTACCTCATATCTTCTAATAAATCACATTCTGTCTGGTGTTTGAGGTGCAGGCGGCCGAGCTGCTCCACATGTGTGTTCTTCAGTTCCTGTGTCACTTTTACCTGAAGAACAGACCAAATCATTAGAGGCCAGAGAAAGGAAGGTACATGCCAACTGCACACACACACACACATGTCCCGCATGAGCTCATTATGGGCTCTTCCAGCTCCAGTCTGCTGGATGCGGAACAACGATGAATCTTCCCAAACAACAAAATTCCTGCACTCAAACTCTTCAAGTGGAACATTTTCATGGTCAGTGCGTCGATCCACTGAGAGTAAATAAAACTGAGGTGTGCCATTTTTAGGGTTATAAAACGTTTTATACGGCCTCCTAGAGAGCTTAATGTGCTGCAATTTAAGAAAACACATGCATTTACAAGTAAAAACCAGCAAATTAAGAAAAGAACTTCATCGGTTTGACAGCAAACCTGTTGCAAATACTTACAACGCAAACACTTTAAAGGGTCACGAAACATCTAAACACGTTTTGAGCTGTTGACAGTCATATGTGTCCCACGCTGCTAAAAACACTATTAGGACACATATATTTCCCTAAAAAGTGAAAATTAGTTGTTTTTGCGTTATTTCAAGCAAATTCGTTCTTCCGCTTTGAAAAGAATTTTTGAAGCTGCGTCACAGCGATTGGATCTTCATGTATATTCCAGCATGTAGACTAGGGTTGTAACAATATACCGGTATGACGGTCTACCACGATTTGAACGTGCACGATTATCATACCATGAACAATTGCATATTAACGGTTTTAACCCTTAAAGACAGAGACAGCCGCCCGCGGCTAAAAATAAGTATTGCTCTTAAATGTTTAATAACTTTTGATCCGCTGATCCGATTCATACAATTCAAAGATTGGCATAAAGAAGAGAATCTCAGCTTTCCAGTGCTGTATCACATAACATTCGCGGACTTTCAGAGGCTCCGGAATCAGTGCGGTTGCATCATAAAAATTTGACAACGCTGATTTGACAAAGAAACGCTCGTCACTGTGTCTCCGGACAAACCAGACATGATACATTGATGCATTGTCCCTCCTCCATGCCCAGATTGGTTCAAACTCGCTATATCACAACCAATAAGCATAGGTTTCGCTTTTGTTTGTGGACCAACAGTGAGCTTTTTGAACAACACGGAATGAGAGATAGGCATACATTTATGCGCGGCTAAATAAAACGCAAAAAAAAAAAGTTTTGCATGAAATAATTCTCATACTAAGTACTTTTGCATGCACAGCAGCACAGAAACATGACAAAACAGTGACACAGCAAAGACAAACTGCTGCTCTTGCTGTTTTCAAAAGACGCAAATGAAGGTGCAGCTGTTTGTCTGCATTGCAGACAACCATATCCAAATCCATATCCACAGACAACCATATCCATGCTGGCACATAAAACCTAAGGATGTTCCATATTGAATCTAGTTTTGTTATGTAACTATTTATAGTATAGTAAATATTTATATCTATTTTTTTACTGAGGATTTACACCATGTTTATTTGGACTTTGACACATTATTTATTATTTTCTTATTTTTTATTTGTTCATTGTAAGTGGTGTTGTTTATAGTAACTGAAAATATATTATTTGGAAAAAGTCAAATTTGCTTCACTGTTCTATTATTTTGTAACACTTTTTTTCTGTTTAGTTCTTTCCCAGACCTTTTGGGCAAATACATTGTCAGTAAATAAATGCATTTTTTCCCCCATAGAAAAACCTTTGTTCAGTCAGAAAACGTGTTCTTATTCTTCTCAGGGTCTTTGCTATGAGAATTACTATTTAATACCGTATACCGCGAAACCGTCAAACCGTGGTATTGTTTTAGACGATTTAGACGAATGAGAAAGACTTCCAAGTTTTTCCAGACCGCCAATCAGCGCGCTCTATTGTGTATGAGGCGCACTTCATTAATATGCATAATAACTTCTAAAGGCTCCTACACACCAGGACGCTTTTCGTTTGCGTTTTTCGTCAGCGTTTTACGAGACGTTTTTCAGTATTCAAACCCAAGTGCTTTTCATTGGCGTCAAGCTGAAGAGTATGCAAAATCACTCTTTTGACAATAGATGGCGCTACACAACTTTAAGCTTCTGACACATGCTTATAACACAGAAGAAGAGGAGGAGAGGAAGTTCAGACGCTTGTTGTTAAAGTTACTGGTGACTCGAACAAGCATGGATGGTTCAAGCAGCAGCTCCAGCTCGCTTTTGCACCTGCCGTTTAACGCGTTGGTGAGCACAATCACATTAACGCCCGTTATTTAGTCGCGAGGAGTTAAACGTCGAGCAAAAAACGTCTCGGTGTGCACAGGCCTTAAGACTGTTTTTACCTGCTACAATCTTCAGATGGCAGAGAGACGCCATGTTGTGTTGCCAACCGTAATCAAAACAAGTGGAAGAAGAAGAATTGTTTGGAGTCACGAGTCATCAGTAGGCCCACACGGAATCTGCGCGCGCAGAATTTCACAGATTTTCCTCAGAATTCTGCAGATTTTTAGCCCATTATTAATTCTGTTTATTTAATTGAGTAAATGTGTGCAAATCTAAATTTAGTTTTTTTTTTATTAATTACAGTAATGATGTTTATCTGATTTATGTACAACGCAGTTTGTAAAGTAATATTTTCTGTCTTTTAGTAGAGATATTATATGACAAACTTGCTTTGTTAACCAAATAAAGTGAATCTAATTAGATTTGCAATTTATTTAAACATTAAATAAAAGTTAAAAAGGTATTACTTTTTATTTCACTAATTAAGGTTTTAGTTATGATACTCTCAAAATAATTCCGCAGATTTTAACCAAAATTCTCAGCAGAAATAGCGAAAAACGTCCGCAGATTACGTCTGGCCCAGGTCATCAGTGTTGTTTATAAACGTGCTGCAACATAGGTTTTGTTTTCATTTCCCTGCTATGAGAGTGCAGCAGGACTCAAATGTGGACTACAGTGCTTGCGACAGAAATATGTTTGTAAGGAACATTTTTTACCCGAGAGCTTTTTGCATCTGGAAGTTTACAGTACGTTAATATCACTGCAACATAATGTACTAAAAGATCCGCTGTGAATGTTGCTCTTCAAATGTAAACATGTAAACACCTTAAACTATTAGCGTCATGTAGGAGTTTCACTACATTTTGTGACAGCAGGTCTATACACAAACTGCTATCTGACTCTACCCACCAAGTGCATTCAAGCTAACAAGAAATGCGAAGGTTTTCTCTCATACAGCATGCAGTATCAAACATTACATTCAAACTACACTCTTCCAGCAGTTTCTTGCATTCAATATGTCGTTAGTCATGGGGGGCATGCATGTTCCTAAATTTAAGTGAAAGTGTCAAACTGCTGTTAAACTTGACAAATTAATAATTTGGCAAATAGTTCGATTACTGATGTTCATGCAACACAGCCACTGGGCCCGTTTCAGAAAGAAGGTTAAGTGAAAACTCAAAGTATTTTAACCCTAAAATGAGAGAAACTCTGGTTTTTCCGTATCAAAATGGCAGGTTTATCAAACTGGAGAAAGCAGGGCAAGTCAAGCCTGTTTCTGAAAGAGAAGTAACTTTAACTCAGACTCAGGCCCCGTTTACACTAGTGCGTTTTAGTTTGAAAACGCATAAGTTTTGCTACGGTTACGCCATCCGTCCACACTACGCCGGAGTTCTCGAGCGCTGAAAACGGAGCTTTTTGAAAACGCTGGAGAGGCCGTTTTCATTCTAAAACGCTGCTGCTCCGTCTCAGTGTGGATGGGGAAAGACGGAGACATCTGAAAACGGAGGCGGGGCTGCAAACGTTCGCCTATCTGATTGGGGCTTTTCCTCAATATTAAGTAGCCCACACACAGTTCAGTCTCGCATCCTCTTCTTGTAAGTTAAGACTTCGCAAGTTTGATCAAGGCTGCAGTCTCCCCCTTTTCAGTTTGATATGGAAAACATACAGAGGACACGGGTAAATCTTCAAAGGGAACAGTGTACTTTATAACTTCATTCACATCACCCTGGCTACGTTGTTTCACTTTCTCAACAATAAAAAGTAAACATGATTTAAGGAACTGCCTATTTTCTTTTTAATATTAGAAAACTTAACAGACAGCAGAAATGTTGAGGCGTCGTGCTGCATATATGAGCGTCATCTTCACTGTGTGGATATTTATAACAAAACGGAGCCGATAACAACTGTCTCCTTTCAATTTCAGTGAAAATACGAAACGCACCCTCTCTTTTGCTGAATATCAGTTTTAATAATCGATAATTATAAAAGTATAACATACAATAAGTTTATACATTGTAGGAAATAAAGGCAAGCGATCAGTCAATGTACCTGAATTAATCATTAACTTATCTTTGCGCTTAACCAAAACATGTTACCCGTGAACAAGTAACTTAATAGATTCCAATGACCAAAGTCAGGGAATTGGCATATGTCGTTAGATAAAGACAACAACATGAATGAAATATCACGTTTAGCAAATATAGTGAGATTAGATCCAGCGGGAGATGCTTGATGAGCAGTCCGACAAGCAGAGCACTCATCTGGGTAGAAATGCTGGAGCGCTTGCCCGAGAGTGTCTGTGTGGTCACGTGATGTGCGTTTTCAACGTTTTGGTGTGGACGGAGAGCAGTTCAGAAACGCTGGGTAAAACGCGAGTGTGGACGCGGATCGTTTTCATTCTACAACGCCGTTTTAAAACTAAAACGCACTAGTGTAAACGGGGCCTCAGTTACCGTGGTAACTGATGTAAAAAATGTTTACAGTGTGTTTGGTTTATTAAAGCTTTAAGGTTTTATACATAAATTAATTTTATTTAAGATACTGTAGTTGTTTTTCTAATCTGACAACTTCATTTAAACAAATGGCAGCAGTGTTAAAAAGGTTTTAAATAAATGGCCCATTTCCACTAAGCAGTACGGTTCGGTTTGGTACGCTTTTCTGGCCGTTTCTACTGTCAAAAGGCGTACCGAACCAAACCGAACCGTACCACTTTTTTTGGCACCCTTTTGAAAGGGTACCAAACACAAGAAAGTGTACCAAAAGGTGGAGCTAGACTGAA